CTTTTTTGGTTCTTTTTTATTTAAGGTTATGCCAGGCTCATAAAATAGATGTCCATCTATTTGTATAACATTGAAATAATCTGAATATGGAAAGTTTGATAAAATTCACTATAAAACAATACTGATCCAATGACTTTTAAAAGAGATATTAGTAAACTTCTTATTCAACTTATTCTATGGTTATGACCTTTGACATTTTATTACCTTCAAACTGAGTCCTTTCATAAAGTCCCAGATGTGTCAATGTAAGTTGTATAATATTTTAAATGACGAAAAAAAGGATTATGCTGTAATGAACACCTACATACCTACCACCCAGTTTAGGAAACAAATCTTACAGACACAACTGAATCCCTCTATACTGTTCCCCAGCCCCACTCCCCTATGTTCCTCCCAACACATATACTATCCTGCTTTAGCTTTTTACTGTATACATTTGCTGTACATAAAACAATACACACACACATATATATGTAGTTTCAGAGGTTTTCAACTTACACTCAAAACTGTACTTACCTTTTTGCAACTTGCTTTTTTCTCTCAATATTTATAATCTGTTGTATATGATAAGCTCTGGTTAATAAGTTTTTAAAAGCTGTATGCTACCTCGTTAACAATCCATGGTATCTGTATTCATTCTTTGTTACTGGATATTTAGACTGGTGTAAGATTTTGCCAGTGCAAGTCTCTGTCATTTCCTTTTTCTTTCTCCTTCGTAAGGGGGCCCCAAAGGGGAAAGCGGTGCAAGCAGGATTTTCTTTTCTTTAAATTTTGCCTTTTCCTCATTTGAGATACTTTCAGTGTCCTGAACACTGATCTGTATTTTCTTCTGCAGTCTAAAAGAACTAAAGTCTTAGTGTTTACTATACTTAAGACACCTGTAGCTCCTTGGTATTCCTCTTTAGCATTCTTTTGGGAAACAAGGGGCAAGGCCTCAATTTCAGGTAGAAATCTGGAAGAGATCTGCACCAGTGTTCAGATTCTACTAAGTTAGCAAGTTAGCAGCACAAGACTTGAAGTCAAGGAGGAAGGCAGTGATTTTTGTGGTTTAGTCAAGAAGACTTTAAGGGGTATCTTTTAGTAAGAGAACTCCTTGGATATTTATTTGGTTTAAGAGCTGGGCATTCTACAAATTTCCCGAAGAAATCGTCTTCTAAGACATACCAACCAACTTTGTTTCCTTAACAGTCTTCTATTAATCAGATAGTTTTAAGTTCATGTAGTGAAGATGTTATTAGAATGAAAGGCTGGTTTGACATCTGTGACACATGTGCTCTCTAGTCAGTTTGTGACAAACAATGTTAGTTCTCCGATAGTCACACTACAAAAGAAAAATGAAAATCGAGTTTTTAACACTACACGTTACAACTAACATTAAACTAACTAGTACAATTTTCTTAGATTATACCAAAACTAGAGATAAAAATGCTTTAGTATCTTATTAGTCATACTCCAGTTTTATAAGAACACATTTAAAATTTTACCCTTTGTGTTGACTTCATTTTGTACTGTGAAATGTATAAAGAAAGAAACAAAGTCAGATTTCGTTTTCAACTGGATAATGCTATTTGACCTATGACATACCAGAGAGAGTGATATGCTGTTATCTGTATTTTGACGCTTCGATGAAATACAAGAGGATTTCCTGCCTACCAGTTACATGCATACTTACAAAAAAAAAGTGTGCTGAAGTACAGTTTAAACTCGTCCTTTCCAGGAAAACTTCCTTGGCCTGACATCCCTTTAGAAGGATGTCTTACCTTTAACTTACCTTTGGTAAGTTAGGCTTGAAGTGTATCTTGTAAACAACCTTAAAGTATTTTACACACCTTCCTAAATAGGTTCAAGGTGTATGAAGATTCTGATCCCCTCAACCCTTAGGACAGCTGGCAAGCAGCCTCATCTGTTTTTCCCAGACTGTCTTAAAATTACCACCATTTTTCCATACAGGTTATGATGTGAAAAAATTAGAAAACACAGCTATAGTACCATGACTACCTTGTAGACTCCTTTAAGAAACAATTTTATATTCTCCTGACTCTACAGTGCCTAGAACAGTCCTCTGAACAGTGTGATTAATCTTGAATGACCTGACATTAATTTCTAATACCAATTAGGCCTTAAAAGTTTAACTGGTTATTTTAATTAGTGAATATTTTGCATATTCTCTAATAGCTAGCATTACTAGCCAATCCTACAATAAAGCTTTTGCATAATATGCAGAAAGTGAAATTTGAAGATGCCTATACAAAGAGCCTTGTTAAAAAGTTTTCAGTTTCAGGCCCAAAACACTACAACTTAGGAATAGCATGTACATTGTGATTCTGCTTTTAAATAATCTTCCGTAGAGAAGTGAACAGAAATACACCCTCTTCTTAGGAAATTTAATAACATACATGCATTACCAAACTCCTGTGTTTGGCAAAATATGCCTTTATATTTTATATATAGTTGGCAAAAGCGTAAACTGATGATCAGTATGGAAGATATTTTCAAAGGATCTTGCATTATCCCGAAGTTTCTGGTGTGATTAAAAGTCAAAAATGATTTTAATCACAAAAAGGGCCACCCCAATGCTAGAGAATTATCTGTAATTGTCCTTAATTATTTTCCTAAGAATTTCACTTTCCAAGAACATTTTTTTTTCCTGAAGGAAGTGATTTTTTTTGGCCATGCTGAACAGCATGCAGGATCTTAATTCCCAGACCAGGGATCGAACCCATGCCCCCTGCAGTGGAATCTTGGAGTCTTAACCACTGCGCCACCAGGGAAGTCTATCCCAGAACATTTGTAATGAACCAGAACTTCCAGGATACCATTTTAATGCTCCTGTCCCCATTTTAGTTTCCAAAATCCCAAATGAGGAAAAACCTCATAAATATCTTGTCAAATGTATCACGTCAGAACATTTACTTCTATCGTAATTCTTGACTGCAATATACACAGCAAGCCCGGACTTCATGGTTCCTGAACTCCTCTCCTCTCTTACTCAGCCAGTCACCCCCTTGATCATACTTGTCATGACAGATAAGTCTAACTCCTCAAATTCTCAATTTTAAGCATATCACTCTAACCCCCACCTCCTACATTTCCAGGTCATTCCTTCTAAACATATCTATAATACATTGATGGTGCCACATCTTCACTATCCCTCCTCTCCTCTCATGTCCACACTTCCCCGCTTACCTAGCTGAAGTTTCCAGGTTATCATTAAAACCCTGCCCCTCTTCATGGGGGCAGTCAGACTCACTTGGTAAAACCACAACCTTGGTTAAATCCAATTCACCTACTCTGTGCCTGCACTCATGCAGTGTTACATGGCTGAAGAAAAACATTCAGTCATACTTAGTGGTCTCATTAGATTATCACTAACTGAGTAGTCCTCCATTCTGCCTGGCTATCAAAGTATGCTTCCCAGGTCTGTTTGCTCTCCCATTCTTCTGGTCCAGAGCACTCCTCTACCTCCTATCTCCAGTATCTAACTGCTACATGATATTTCCCCCTTGAAAACCAAGTTCCCAGGCCTCCCCAACCCTGAATCTTCCCCAATTTCTCAACCCCCAAATGTCCTTGACATCTCTCACATTCCACAACCAATCCTGGCAAATACACTTGCTTTTATCTTTAACATATATCCATCCAGATATCACTACCTCTACAGCCTACAGCTACCACCACAGGCCAAGCCAGCTTTCTCTCTCCACCGGATTCCTGCAGCAGCCTCCTAATTTTGTTCTAATTTTGCCTTTATCTCCACACTTTGGCCTATTCAACACAGTAGACATTATGACTCCTATTAAAAAGACATCCCTGAGTTTTAGGATACTTTGTGTTTCTAATCTTCTTCCACCTTAATAAAATGCTATTCTTAGACTATAGAAGACGACGTCTATAGCACAACCATTATTTCAGACTGTACCCTAAATTATTTTGATAAATATGACCTTTTACATGCACATCACCTTAAAAACAATTACATAAGAGAACAAACGTATGGACACCAAGTTGGGGGGTGGGATGAATTGGGAGATTGTGACTGACATATATACACTAATATGTATAAAATAGATAACTAATAAGAACCTGCTGTATAAAAAAATAATAAAATTAATAAAAAAATAAAATAAAAACAATTACATATATTTTTACAACAGCATTCTAGGTCATAAAACAGAGTCAAAGTAATTGACCTTCAGGGGATATAATCCCATGATAGCCCAGTTGACACGATTAAGCTAATCAATTAAAGATTCACCTAGTGTTTAGTTCAGAATCATTACCAGACCTTTGAAAATGTTTTAAAAAAGAAAATAATTAACACTGCTAATTCATTTTCTTTCGGAATCTCAATATGACAAAACTTGTATTTTAAAACTAGAAAAAATGATTTAACCAAAAATGTCATAATTTCATATTATATTCTCAATGCTTTTCAAAGCCCAACTGTGATTTTTAAAAAGAAATTAAACAACATGCTTTCATTGAGAGAATTTTTAAAATCTATACAATTCAAGCTAATGAAATATTTTATTGTACAAAATAAAAGTGGTGTTTTTAAAAAAAACATTTCCAGGCCCAGACATCCGCAGGAGTATGTGAGGGAAGGATTCCACTGGAGTATAATAAGCAATACTCAACTGAATGAAACCACAAATCCACCCTCCCTATAGTAAATACTAACATTCACCACAGGCTTGAAATTCCTGTAGCATCAGTAAACGTATTTTTTAAAACATTACAAACATGCTTATGATGCATAGGAAGATGGAAAAATTTAGACTTAGATGCACACCATATGTACTCCCAACTTTTCTAATTTACAACCAGTTAAGAATCACAAATATCCAAAGAAAGTATTTTAAAATAGTATATATGATTCACTGGTAAGTGATTTTTATACTCAAATAAATAGTATAAAATGAAATGTTCTCATTTCATTTTAATGTCACATTGAATTTTAGTACTTTTCAATCCAAGAAAAAAATAAACAGACATGGTCAAGAGTTCAGGATTATATATATTACAATTTGCCTTGTTATAATACATTTGTGGCTTTATGATAAAAATAACTCAGGGACATATGGAAACCAAGCTAATTTGCATAACTGTCACAAGAAAAAAGCATTAAATGCATTTCTGAAATAAGTATTTTCATTTAATTCAGAATCTCAAAACAGCATTAGATCTTGGCCTTTTTTTTAAAAAAAGTTTAGTTAAACACTAAGCTAGCTAAATAACCTTCTTGAAAGGTTTAAACACAATTGATATAGAAAATGCTTTCCCTCTAATCTCAATCTTACATAAATGAAAGAGGTAAGGGGGAAAAGGTAGACAATTTCTTTAGCAGCATATATGGCTAAATCCATCAACCACCTTAAACTAGAATGTCCATTATTGACCCCATTAAAAAGAACTGGGCATATATCAAAAGTTACCCACTTCATAAACCAAAAGACAATAATTTTAGGGTTACGGTAAGTAAAATATTTTTGAAACACTTCAAAAAACTTCTGACATTAAACTAGAGGAATCATGTCTTCATTCTAAGAAAGAAAGGCATAAAAGAAAGTAAAAGACATTTAAACTAAACTGATTTTCAATCTTCTTTGAACAAAAGAAATAAAAAATAATGGTTGATTAGCTAAGCTCTGTGCTCTAACCAAACTAATTAATTACAGTGATTTTAAATGGCAACAGCCCATCTGACTGGGTAGCTTGACAGTTCTGAATACTTTTGCAATGATTTTTTTTTAAAACGCAAAGACACTAAAATGATCCGGTCATGCAATGTTCATCTTATGCATTCTGCATCTCTTTGCCAATCTTGTAGCTAAGGATCTTGTTCCAATCAATCTTAGTGCGTGTAACTGGCAACTGTCGACGTAAGGCTTTGAAAGTAGTGTCCGACATTGTCTGATAATTCTCACTGATGGCAGTCTATGAAAAACAGTAGTTAAAAGTTTAAAGAAATAAAAGGAACAGAACAATGTATAAAACACACAGATGTTTTAGGAAACAGCTTTATTTAAGCAGCCTGTTTCACTGTTTTTAAAAAGCCAAATAAAAACCCCAATATGGTCTTAAAAGCTATTTATAAAAGCAGCTAAAAGAAAAAGCTTATAATCATTTTGAATAATTAAATTTAATAAAATGAAATTATAAATTAGATTTACTATCTGTGTGTCCTCATTTTGGATCTATTTTACTATTTCTCTCAGAACAATTTCACAAATTACTGTTTGCAGTTGAGTGGAAACGTGTCCAATACACAAATTAAATGCTTAAATTCAAGAGTGCAATTTAGAAGCAGGTAAAGAATGTAAAAGAGTACAAAATGAAATACGATCTAAGGAGAGCACATATAATCCAAATGCTTTGGGAAATACCTCCTAAAGTAGAATTTCCAATCAGAAACAAAATAACCATTTAAAATCTTGGCCTATTTTGACCAATACTCAGAAATTACAGTTAGCTAAAACTGAGTTTTAGCTACATTTTCACAAGTTTGCCTTTGAACTAAAACAAACAAAACACACACAAAAAAGACTGTATCTTATTATAATGAAACAATGAAAAAATTCAGGCTTATGACTGAAATTAAAATTTCAGTGCCATTATTTACAAGCAAATATAGATTATACAATATTTTTGAAAATCATACCTGGTATTCATTTTCTGCAGCCTCTACAATCTTTATAAATTCTTTTGCTGTTTGCACCTCATTCTGAATGAAAAACAAAATCAAAAGTAAATAAAATAGTAATTTAAAACTACACCACTATTACTGTTAAATAGGTATGTCAATAGATGTATGGTTAATGATTTCTTTTAATTTAATAACACAGATGGATATTATGACAAAGGAAAAATATTGTAAGATCAATTATTCTAAATTCAAGGGGAACTAGGCAAAAATGTTTTAAAAGTCTACAGAATGAACATGGCTTTAGTATTTTACCGGTTAAGGAAAGCAAAATCTTAATAGTACATGTTGATGAAAAATTCAATTATAACACTTAACAGCATTTCAAAAATCTTTATGGGTAAGATGTTAGCCACAGATTTCTAGTTAATGACTATATTGCTAAATATTTACTGAACAATATTTGCCACCATAATGATACATTTAAAAAATATTACCAATTAGAAAAAGCATATTTTACAGTTTAAGGTGCATTTTTTAGTGTTTAAATATTTTCTGGAAAAAATTTTTAAAAAAATTTTTTATATTGGAATTTTATTCCAATATAACGCACATTTCTTTGCTTCTTTCCTAACACTAAAAGTTAACAACTGTTAAATTGTTAAAATTATCTAACACCTTACTTTACATATATTATTTATATATATTTACACATGTATTTATATAATGGGTACATTTTTTCTATCCAAAAATAGTAAAACAACAATGAAAATCCTCTAAGATAAAGTGAAAAGGTAATTCCTAAAACACTCAGCACAAATTGGCATATTAGTCAAGTTTAATTACTATGACAAGATCTCACAACTCCACAGTCTATAATTTTGTAGACAAATCTCTCTTAGGAAGATTCTTTACTCAATGTCAAACTCCTCAAAGAATACTAAGTACCTTGTTACACAAATAATATTACATAGATACTCACTATATAGAACTATATTGAGTGGAGATCAGACATTAGTAATTATCTTTCCTGGCAATTTTGCAAGAAGAATATTACTTAGCAAGAAAGCAGAAATCACCTAAGTGCTAATGAAAACTTGAAAAAAACCAAAAGAAAAAGCAAAAAAAAAAGAAAAGAAAATCCAAAAATCCCACAGCATTCATTTCTTTTCAGGTAGCATCTGGCCTAACACACTCACACATGTTTCTTAACATTAAATCAAATGCTTTCTTAAATTAAAAATAAAGTTTTAAAAATATTTGTAAGTTAGCTAATTTTAAATATTAGCAGTTGATGTTTATAATATACTAATGCTTTTAGGTATACAACACATTTGATAAACAAATATTTATCAGAAATGTCACTGTTAACATATTATAATATCTTTGGGACAAAAAAATTCTGCAAAGAAATAGTTGCATGTTCAATGAAAAGAATGTGTGAAAAGACCTCTGCAGGGAAAAAAAACCAAGTTCAAAATTTCCAGAATTTGAAAGCTGAACTTCAGAAAAACTTCATTAAATCATACTCCAAATAGAGAAAAAAAATACAATAGGGTTTAAAAGTTAAGTACAGGAGCACAGATGTAAATTTAAAAGCTAAAACTATAAAATTTGTAGAAGAAAACACTGGAGTAAATCTTCACGATCTTGGGTTAAGCAATGGTTTCTACTAATATTCCAAAAGCATAAGTTACAAAAGAAAAAATAAACTGGACCACATCAAAACTGGTATATTCTGTTTTGCAAATGATACTACCAAGAAAGTGAAAAGACACACAGAATGGGAGAAAATATTTGTAAATCATATATCTGATACAGGACTTCTATCAGAATACATAAGCAATAATTACAACAACAGTAAAAACACAAGTCCAATTAAGAAATAGACAAAGGATCTGAAGAGACATTTTTCCAAAGAAGCTATTCAAATGGCCAACAAATACACAAAAAGGTGCTCAATATCATTATCCATCAGGAAAATATAAATAAAACTCACAATAAGATGCAATTAACAGGGGCTTCCCTGGTGGCGCAGTGGTTAAGAATCCGCCTGCCGATGCAGGGGACATGGGTTCAAGCCCTGGTCCAGGAAGATCCCACATGCTGTGGAGCAACTAAGCCCTTACACCATAACTAATGAGCCTGCACTCTAGAGCCCACGAGCCACAACTACTGAGCCTGAGTGCCACAACTAGTGAAGCCCATGTGCCTAGAGACCAAGCTCCGAAACAAGAGAAGCCACCGCAATGAGAAGCCTGCACACCGCAACAAAGAGTAGCCCGCACACCGCAACAAAGAGTAGCCCCTGCTTGCCGCAACTAGAGGAAGCCGCGCACAGCACCGAAGAAACAAAAATGCAGCCAAAAATAAATAAATTAATTAAAAAAAAAAGATACAATTAATACCAACTAGGATGGCTATAATAAAAAGGCAGACGTAAGTTTTGGTGAGGATGTGGAAAAACTGGAAACCTTATATACAACTGATGGGAATGTAAAAATAGTGCAGTAATTTTGGAAGCAGTCTGGCAGTTCTTCAAAAGGTTAAACAAAGAACTGCCATACAACCCAGCAATGCCACTGCTATGTATACATCAAAGAGAAATTAAAACAATGTCTACACAAAAAACAGTATACAAAGGTTCACAGCAGCAAAAAGTAGAAAACAACACAAATGTCCATCAACTGATAAATATATAAATAGAATGTGGTATATGGATTATTATTTGGCTACAAAAAGGAATGAAGTACTGACACATGCTCTAACATGGATGAACCTTGAAAATATTATGCTAGGTGAAAAAAGCCTGTTGCAAAAAATCACATATTGTAGGATTCCATTTACATAAAATGTCCAGAACAGGAAAATCCAGAGTCAGAAAGTAGATTCATGGTTGCCTAGGGCTGAGAGGGGTTTGGGGGAAGGGCTGGTGGGAGGGAACGGGGAACGACTGCTAATGGATACAGGGTTTTTGGAGGATGAAAATGTTCTAAATTACGTCGTGGTGACTGTTGTACAACCCTATTAATATAATACTTAAAAAAAAAAAGAAATTTATACTTTAAATGGGTGAACTGAATGGTATGTGAATTGTTATCTCTTTAAATAAAGCTGCTAAAAAAAAAGTTAGGTACCAATTTCCAATTACTTACCATCTTTAATCTATCTGAAAACACTTTAATCTGAAGCAGAAATACTACTTAAAATGTTAATTCCAAAACCGCTCTAGTTGTATAGAAGTATTATGTTGTTTAAATTTTATTTTGGAATTAATTACTTACAGACACTGTTAGGGAATCTTGTATATCTTTATGACTCACTAGCTGAACATTACCATCTTCATAATAATGAACCTATTAGAAAAAGAAATTACAGAAACCATATTACAGGAGTTATCAAGATCCTCATGGCTTCAACAATCACATCAATGCAGATGACTACCAATTTCAGCTCTAACCTAGTCTTCTCTGCTGAGCTCCTGACCTTAAACTCCAGCGAGCCTCTTCCTGCCCTTAGGCTAGTGAGGAACTAGGTAGCAGTTCCTGCAGTTACTCAGGCAAGCCCTCCATTGACTGGACTGCTGCACATTTCTACCTCATAAATGTTCTACTGGTATCTAAACTCAAGATTTCCAAAATCAAACTCACAGTATTTTCTCCCAACACCACTCTTGTTTTGTGTATTTCCATCAACCATTTAATTCCTCAAATTCAAAGACATGAATTTATTCAATAAACATTAACTGAGTGATTACTATATATGACTGCTACTACAGGAAGTTCTAGAGACACAAAGCTTTTAAAAAGACAGCCCCTGACCTCATATTTCAACACAACACAGTAAGAGGTACGTACAAAGTACATTAGCAATACTCCAGATTCTCTCTGAGACATAAAAAAGGACTTCAGAAAAGAGGTAACACTGTACTTGGGCTTAGTAAAATGAGTTTAACAAACCAGGGAAGGTAAGGAAACTGAGCTTAATAGAGAAGAGCATACTTTAGGAAAGGCCTGCAGGCACTTAGGACTGGAATGTGTGGGAGTTTGGGGAGTAGGAGCTGTGGCTGGCGGAATATACAGGTAGGTGACAAGTCAACCCTGGGCCTTCTATGCCATGCAAATATGTCTGGACTATCTAGTAGGTGAGTGTACCACTAAAATGGTCTCAAGTGGCAAGTAACATATCCAGATTTAAATTTTTTAAAATCACCTTTCTTGATGGCAATGTAAAAAGTGGATTAGGAGATGGCAAAGGGTCCAACCAATCAACAAAATAAAATAACCATTATAAACCAGGCATCATGCCAAGTGCTGAAGATAGAACCAGCCAATCCTGGCTCTCAACAAGCTTTGGCCCAACAGGGGCACATCTCAGAAATCATCCAGGTGAGAGTTAGAGGCCTAACTGAAGGAAAAAATAATGTCAACAATAATGGCTACCATTCAATAAGCACTTTATATCTGGCTCTGTTCTAATCATTTTGCCCATATTAACTCATCTTCAAAAAATTGCATGAGCTATTTCATTGTTGCTGTTTTCTATTTTTTAGCTGATGAGGAAACAGAAAGAGCTTAAATGACTTCCTGATGTCATACAGCTAATAACTGGCAGAGCTGGGATTCAAACTCAGGCAGTCTGGTTTCAGAATCCATGCTCATAACCTCTATTTTCTAGCCCCTAAACAATAGCCACACCAAGACATACAAGTAATAGGATAAAAGACTAGAAATAATGTATACTGGAGTCAAATGATAGAGCAGTGCTTCTGATTCATCTTTATTCCTTTATGGCTCTTAGCATAATACCTTTCATGATAGTTAAGCAACAAATGTATTGAATAAATAAGTGAACCAAGATACAAAGAAATTAGTCAGTATTTTTCTTTAACATATTTAGTAATATTCATATTTAAATCCTCTTAGTTATCAAATTTCTTCTATATAAACATTTGAGCTTACAGAGTCAATTCTAGTGGGTTTCATATAAGAAGCGAAATATAAGTACAGAAGATACTTAAGATATATGTAGTATGTACATGTGTTAACATATATATATACTTATACATCTATACACACACATATATTAATATTATACCTCACTCAACTCCACGCCAATTCAAAAGACAGAACAGCACAACTCAAACTCAGAAGATGCTTGGATGAACAAATTGTATGAAGAGCAGACCAAATGGTAGCATCTAATTTTAGCTGTGCTTTTAGAATCTGTCAGCTATCCTTGCAGATTTTTGATGACTAGGGAATGAACTGCAAGGTTATTTAAAAGATGAAATCAGCACTACTTGTTTTTCCCATTACCTCAAAACAAAGACCTGGAAAATAAACAGTTATTGAGTACTATGAAAATGTAAACATATGAATTAGCTGCTTCTATGCTCAGAATCACCTAGAGATCAGCAAATTCTTTTTATTTCATACCTGAATTTTCAAGATGCCAACCACCTGAGTGGTTGAAGGAGTGATTGTAAACTTCCACTCTGACCTCCAACGACCATTCCTTAAAAATAAAAACAGCAGCTATAAATAAGGTAGGTAAAATAATTTGAATAAATTTTAAGTTCCAGATTTAAATTTCATGCTACAGTATGAGAGAGTGTGGGGGATGGATGCTGGACATTCTTTGTTTTAATCCCTGAAATATTCAAAAGAATCAAGAGGTTACGTTCAGTTATGAGCTACATTTAATCTTCATCCTGCTGATAAGAAATGACCTATATAATGGATGCAACCTCAGAACTCTAAAGCTAAGGCTTAAAATACAGTTCAAAACTACATCAGTTTTCTGACTTATGCTTTAATTAAGAAAAAACTGAATAAATGTTCAGATTACCAGGGGCTTTCATAAGTTTACCATCCAGTGAATGATACAAAGTCCCATAGTTTTAAAAGAATAGATAGTAATACAACATTCTTAAGGAGATTTTGCTATCTGGAAAGAGAAGGGCTTTAAAGGGTTATAAGCATCAAATTTTTTTCCCTTTTCCAATTTTAGGCTTAAAGTTTCCACATAAAAGGCACATACAGGGCTTCCCTGGTGGCGCAGCGGTTGGGAGCCCGCCTGCCGATGCAGGGGACACGGGTTCGTGCCCCGTCCTGGGAGGATCCCACATGCCGCGGAGCGGCTGGGCCCGTGAGCCATGGCCGCTGAGCCTGCGCGTCTGGAGCCTGTGCTCCGCGACGGGAGAGGCCACAACAGTGAGAGGCCCGCATACCGCAAAAAAAAAAAAAAAAAAAAGGCACATACATCCTCCTCCTAGATCCCAAAATGATTTTTGGTATAAAATTGATACAGATTAATCGTAAGAAACTGTGACATTACAAACAAGCAACAGGCATGTTATTCATTTTTGTCTTCCAGATAATTAATTTTATCCTAATTTTTTCCTGACAGCCTTTTCATAGCAACTCCTTTTCTTCTGATCTCTATTTGCTCTTTTGCATACTAAAGACATATTCTGATATACCTGTCAGTTTTTTTTAAAACAGTATATATTTCTAAAACAATCACAGAGCTAATGGATCACTATACTGGCTTTGCTACAGAATTATTTCTGGGTTCCCTTCAATATTCTTGCAGTCTGCCCAATCACAAAAACTTGCAGAATGATAGCACTCTCATACCTAAAGTTAACACTTATCATTTGAAAAGTACTATTATTAGAACAATGTATATGTTCTACAAAATAAAAGATAATTTTATAACATGTTTTGATTTTGAGTGACTTAGCCAAAGTTATCCATTGAAGCTTGATTGGAAAAAGAACTTAGATCTATTCATTTTTATTTCATGATTCCAAAAGAAGTTATTCCTTTTATTTAGGTATTACTATCAAGCACTAGTGAGTTCTAAGCATACACATTTCTGATTTATAATGACAACATACATATATCACCACTGATTGCGAAAATTAAAAAAAAAAGAAAAAAGGAATTCCAAATCAAGTAATCATACCAATTTGAGAACTATTTCAAAAGATCCTTCCAAAGGCATTACTATATAGTAATAGTAAACTGCACTGCATAGACAGTACCCTTTCTTTCATCAATGGAGTAAACAGTCAAGATGTCCTAGCCTTTAATTATATTCTTCCCTTCTCTTCTATTAATGCTTTAATTAGAAATGTGTATTTATTCAACAAACATTTATTAAGCCCCCAATACTGCTACATGTTAGGGAAACAGCAAAGACCAAGAAAAGAATGTCCCTAGTGAAATCTAAGAAACGACCATGACTAGAATCTTCTGATTTTTATGCTATCTGCATTTGAGGTGAACTGAAGTAATTTCCTTGTACCAAAATATTTAGACTTTACTGAGGTTATTGTGATATGTCATGTCTAGCACTTTGGAATGTCATAAAAAATTATCTTTTCCAAAAAGTGGAAGTGATTTTTAGCTTCAATGATATAATGTTCATAGTGGTAGTTTAGAAAAAAAAATTCAGATATGTGAAGTGAAACAGACTAGAAAATTCAAGGACATCATTTTCATTTTATATATGCTAACACTCAAACTGTATTTCTGTAAATTTACTATAACATCTCTCAATATGTTTTAAACTAAAACTTAGTAACGAGTTCCATCCCAACAAAATTGATTTTATTATATATATCCTGGCACAAACAGCACAAATTAATAGCAATTTTGTAAAGACTTATTTCTTAGGATACTGGTAAATTAATGCTACAAGTTTTTAGGCCAAAAATGCAGAAACTACATTTATATCAAGGCCATACAAGTAAGTTAATACAACAGAATTTTTAGGAAACTGCAGCTTGTCATTAAGGCCTATGTTTACAAATAGAATTTATTTTCCTTCAGTGATAATGGATCTCTTTCCTCCTATGATGGTTAAGTAGATGAGCAACCTTGGGCCATAGACCAAAGTGGTCCACAGGGGTTACTGATACCTGCTACTCTACCCTTAACAGCACCACCAACCAACTCGGCTAACAAGTCAAAGACTAATATACTTAAAAGGTAAACACTATGACCATACTTACTCTGATGGCCTTAGAATGTATTATCAAAACGGGAGGATAAAAGTAAAGATTTCATTCAATTCTGAACTTATAAAGTCTTGGAGAGCCACAGAATTTTGTAACAGGAGATATCTCAGAAATAGTCTTATCTAAGAATAAAAAGGCCCAACAACTTGTTGAAGGTCCAAGATGAAGAGTGCAAAACAGTGCTTTGGGGAGCTGGACTTTTACAAGGGATAATCAAATGATTTGTACAAAAATTATAAGGCATGACTGTAATTTGCCTCGCTGGACAAACCATGTCATTACTTCCTCACATTGGCCAACCAAGCACACAGCAATCCACACGAAAACATCTACTTCAGAGTCACCAAAGTTCACGTACCAAAATGCGATCATTCTTCACTTTGTAAGTACCTCTGCCCTCCTCCCCCATGTAAGTCTCATTCAGGAACAACCCCTTCACAGAATGAGCATATGGGCCTGCCAACTGGTCTGCTCACAGACACGCATGTTCCCTCAGAATGCTGCTTGCTAGTCTAAAAACACCCCATGCTCTCCCACCTTCTTTTCACTGAGTGTCAATAGATTTACTGCCACCTTTGAAAGATCAGGTTGATTATGGAACAGATATTTTTCTTATATAAAAAGGCTGAAGTTTTATATTATATTGTTCTTAGTCAATCATACAGAAACAAGGTATAGGCCCAATCAATAAAGAACTACAAAGAGAATAAGCAGTATCAAAATTCCCCAATACACAAAATTCTAACTTACCAAAAGTTTTTTGCTTGAAACTGATGGCTTTCTATGCATGCAATAATGGTCTGCTGTCCATCTATTTTTTTACCATATACCTTGTTGGTAAAGAAAATAAACACAAGAGTGAATTTAGGGCCACAGAATGTCCAACTTTAAACATCTATAAAATACTGAAAATTGTACAGCATTTTGGCAAGAACATATAAAAGAATACAAAGTAGGTCATCATTCCAATACAGTAGCTAGAAAAACAAATACTTAAATATGTACACCTAATCACAGATTCTTAGTGAATCATAAAATAGCTCACAATTAATAAAGTACAATTTATTGGAAAAAAATAACTGTACTCTCAAAATATGCATAAACATCCCACAATCTCAGGGGTTGCCATTTCTCTAGACATTTAAAATAAAAAAGTATTGAGATAGAAGTGAGAAAGTTAATTTACTTACAACTAAGAAAGTTCACTAAGAGAATGCCTGCAATGGTATGATGATGTTATTTCACCTCTTGCCAACTGCTTTAAAAAAGTAATGAATAATTTGTCTTTCGATCGCCTGGGAACAAGTAAGGACTCTCTAACTCAACCTCACCACCTTATTCTTGAGGTATTCTTCCAAAATAATCCTAATCAACACGGTTATAATTCAAAGAACCTGTAAGGTATTTTAGGTTATGTTGCTATACTTCTCAAATAATTATTGAGAGCTAGATACTTAAGGCGACCATATGAATTTTTGTCCTAACCAGGAATCTTCTGAGAGTGAAATGAGGTGGCTATTGGTAATACTAATAATTATGTTGGGACAGCAGGTATAAACCAGGATGTATGGTCATCTTAGGCTGGAGAGGTAGGCAGAGGCCAGGTTCACAGGGCCTTGAAAACCATGTTCAGAAGCCTGGACTCTATCCTAAGTGCAACACGAAATCTTTGAAGAATTTTAAGCAGGAGATTTCATGATCTGATTTCCATTTCAAAAGATCACTGGCTATGGAGAAGATCACAGAAACACAAATGTGGGGGACTAAAAAGCATAGCTAGGCACAGTCTATGAAAGAAAAAAAAGTACTCCTACTTTCTATCATATTTTATCCTGAAAATAAAAAATAGGTTAAACCTATGAAAGAGCCACATTTAAAACCTTAAGAAATTTGATTATAAAACACACGAGGACAGAGTTCACTTCCCAATAATTTTATTTGTTCTAAGATTTTGTAATTTAATGAAAAGAAGTTTGATGCAAACTTAGGGAGATGAGTCATGAACATGACATTAAAGAATCTCATCATATCATGTTCCTCAAATCAATGTATGAGAATTACTACTTGGATTTAATTCAAGGTACAACCATTTTTCCATTTTTGACTATCATAATACATTTACTATTTAAAGTTTCTTGAAAAAAATAAATATTCTTAGAAATACTTACTTCAAAAAAAGGAATATTAAATTATAATGTCCATTCTGTAAGTTACTATAAATTTCAAGATATCACAAAATCACCGTCATATTTACATAATACAAAAGAAAAAAGTGCACACTGGATAACTTACAGTGCAGACCCCATTTGGATAATGTTCTTTTACATAAGCTCGCAGAGCAGCTTCTACTGAAGTTCTCCAAGATTCAATTGCATTTTCTGCTTCGTATGGTCTTGGATCAGTTGCTTCCTTTCTTAAGTGATCAAATTTGAAACAGATTCTGTTTTTTGGATCCAAAAACTTTCCATTTCCCAGGTCACCATGTTCTGTAATCAATACCTTCAATGATGCAATGAATTTTGGAAAAAAAATATTTAAAATAGCATTTAAATACTGATACATTATACATTGACTTGAACTTTTTCCTTAAAACTATAAAATAATTCTATTCCAAGCAACTGGTTTAACTATATGGCCCAAGTATAATACTTCAAATGAGTAGACTATAAAGACAATGAGGCTGCTCTCATGCAGCTCAGATCAGTGGATCTGATTTTCTCCCAATATAACATCCAGCTACCTGATGGGAGAAAAAAAATCCATCGCCTAATACCCTGCTGGAGTCAGGTTTTGTTTTGTTTTTGAGAAATATGGACAGTTTACTATTTCTGTTAACAGTCTCCAGTTCCTCAAAACTAAGGAACTGGTAATAACCTTCACTGAGAACGGTTACAAGTGAATGTTTTGTTTTGTTTTGTTTTTTTGCTGTGCGCGGGCCTCTCACCGCTGTGGCCTCTCCCGTTGCAGAGCACAGGCTCCGGACGCGCAGGCCCAGCGGCCATGGCCCATGGGCCCAGCCGCTCCGTGGCACGTGGGATCCTCCCGGTCCGGGCCACGAACCCGTGTCCCCTGCACTGGCTGGCAGGCCCCCAACCACTGCGCCACCAGGGAAGCCCCAAGGGAATGTTTTTAATCCACTTAGAATCCTCTTCAGTGTGTCCTACATTACTGCTGGGCCCACAATCTCATCTACTGTTAAGTGCCTGCTGCTTGTTTTTATTAAGATAATCACTGACAGTTGTTTTCAACTGACTTCCAAATTTTAACAAATGTAATTTCTTCATTTATGTGCATTTAAATTATAGACGCATAAATTTGACATTCTGTGCTTTCTTTTAAAAAATTTCGCTCTTTTTCCTCCCCATGCGACTCTCCCAATCTTTGACTCTATACCTATGTCAGGACTCCCCTATCCCTTTGATGTAAATTATGCAAACACAGGATGTACCCTTCTGAATTTTTTTCAGTTATATTATCCTACACAGATAAATACATATACGTCTATATATACATACACACACATCCAGGGGTTTTTATTGGCCACTTTTCTACAAGAATGGAATGAAAATGCACACGTATTTTTCTGCATCTGGTTTTTTTCACATCAACACTTTATAGAAATCCTTCAGAGTCAACTGGTAAACCTCTCATCATTCTTTTTAATGGTACTATCCCATGATGTGGGTATAACAATTTATTCTGCCATTCCACTACTGCTGGACCATCTCTTTATTTCCAGGCTGTTCTCTTTTTGGAAGGAGGGATAGGCACATTAAAAATGTTAAAGTATTATTGCACATATATTCTAACGTACTAATGTTTCTATTTCCACTGGATGCTTCTATTTTTCTTAGATAGATTCTCAGCAGTGAGGACAGTAAAGGGTTTGTATATTTTTAATTTTTAATACATAATTAGACTGCTTTCCAGAAATGGCTGTGACAATCTACATTTCTGCAAACAATATATGAGATGCTTCCCTTCACATTATCACCATCAACAGGTATACAGTTCTTTTTTGAGTCTGATGAGTATAAAATACATCTCATTACTTTAATTATATTTCTCTGGCTCACAGGTCTAAATATCTCCAAGTTTGTGGGCCATTTTCTCTTCTGTGAGCAAATATTTTTTAATATTTTTCATCTGGGTGGGTTTTTTTCTTACTAATTTATAAGAGTCCTTTATTTAAGGTATTTGTTTTATTCTACAGTTAAAATAATTGATATGTAGCAAAATGTCCATCTTTTCTTTTATAGTTTCTGGGTTTCCAGTCTTAAGATGGTTTCCTCTGCCCTTAATTATACATGTAGACTCTTTTCTCCTAAAATTCTAGTCATTTTACAAATTTTTAATCCACCTGTCATTTATTTCTATATATTGTAAGACAGAGGACTGGTTTAACTATATGGCATATGTAGTTGATAGAAACCAGTGGTACCAATACCCTTTATTATATGTCTGTCTAAATTATAACCTTATCATGTATAAAAATATTCATATATTTTGGGACTAAATTCTGGCTTGATATGCTGCTCTACTGATCTATTTGTCTACACAATACCACGCTGATTTGACTTTACATTGGTTGTAAAGCACCTTCTGCTAACTAGCAATGCAATTGTCTCTCACCACTCTTACATTTTCTTGTGCTTCCTCAAGCATGTTTTTCATATAAAGTTTATGAAAATTTTGACCAATTATAAAACTATCAGGATTCTAATCAAACTGCATTAAATTCATATTTTAGTTTTTAAATAATTTAACTTTCTACCTCAAAATGGAATTCAGTGTGCTCTTCCATTTGCTCAGAAACTGTTTTATGTGTTTCAAGATAACCAGCATTTTCTTCACAATCCTATGCATTTCTTGTTAAGGTTTATGTTCAGTATTACCAGTATTTAAAATGAAACTCCTCCCTCTCCAACCACTACTAGTGTAAAGTCCCTACTTGCCACAATAGAGGAAAAGTTAATGCATTTTGCACACTTACCTTAAATTCAGCCATCTCACAAAATTCTATTAAGTCTAATGGGTTATTTTGGTTGGGAGGTTAATTTATGGGAGTTTCTCACTATTTCTAGATATATAAATCATGTCACCTAAGAGTTTTCTGTTCTTTTCCAAAGCTTTAAGAGTTCTCATTCTCTTGTCTTATTTGCTATACTTCCATTTATGATAAATAATAATGGTGATAAGTTGACATACCTGGCTAATTTTCTATGTTAACTAAAATTATATTAGTGTTTACAGTTTGATATTTACTACTGTTTTTCGTTAAACAGTATATTATATTTAAGAGGTTTTCTTCTATCCCTATTTTACTTAGGGTTTTTGTAATGAGGATTAGCTGCTGGAGTTTTCAAATCCCTTTTCACTGTCTATTGATGTATCATAAGGTTTTTCTCTTTATTTGTTGATTAAGCGATAAGAGCAATATATTGCCTTACATGGAACCACTCCTGCATTCCTGTAATAAATTCTATTTAGTCTTGGCACATTATTCTTTTGATATATTTCTGGATTCTGTTTGTTAATACCTGTTTAAAGTTTTAAAACCTATAGTCATATGTGAGATTAGTATAGTTTGCTTTTTTTGTTTTATATTAGGTTTAAGTATTAAAATTACAGTAGGTTCATAAAATGAGTTTGAGAGCTATCCGACATTTTAAAAGGATGCATCCCCAGATCCAGCAATTCTTTTAGGGATTTACCTTAACAAAACAATGGTCCATGTGCCCAGAGGTACAATGATGTTCAGTACAGCACTGTTTATAACAGTTAAAAAAAAAAAAATCAAAACCACAAAATCTCCCAAGGAAAAAAAATTTAAGAGCTTCATGAAATGAAACACTACATGCCTTTATATGTATGTGTGTGTATACACACATGCATAAATCTATCTACCTACCTACCTACCCACGTTTACTTTTTCCCTTCAGTTATAAGTCATCTTCTGTCTGGTCTCTCTTTTTCCCCTATAACTACGAGACTACATATTACATAATGAATAATGCCAAATGCAAGCTTTAATATAATTTTCCACTGAGAACTAATTGTTACTACTCTCTCTTATGTTTTACCTCCAGTTCCTTCTTCATATTGTTTTATATTAATTGTGCTTCATGTAAGCATGATAGAAACACAATCACTGTTCAATTACTAGTAACTTTAAACCAAAAAATAAAAACTAAGAATGCTAGTGACTTTTGGGGCTTTTCTTTGCTTAGCAATTCCAACTTGCACTTTGGAAAGAACAGATTTAATAATTACTAAATGCTAAGTTACTCACATGAAGAACTGTAGAATTCCAGAGCAACTAAATTATGACATAAATCTTACTAATATAAACTCTAGATTTTGGATTAATATAGGACTGATTTTTTTCCTATAAAAAACAAGAAAGTAGATTTAAAGCAATTATCTTCTAAAATCTTAAAATAATTACATTTGAGTATTTCTAAAAGGAACTTTCTGCTAATAGCATTATTGGTCTCAACAAAAGAAACTACATTTTCAATTACTTTGCTCCTAAGTGGCAATGATTAAAATGAATGCTTTTTTTTTTTTAACCTTTAAACATACCACTTCACAATTCTTGCAGGATACACTAACCATTATAAATGAAATAAAGAATATCAGATCCTGTGTTTACATGAAACATACCTGATCTTCATAACCTTCAATTTTTACTGGAGTAAACTGGTCCAAGTTATACTGTGCAAATGCACTAAAAAAGAAAAGGGTCAATTATTTAAAATTACGTATTTAATGTTCTTAAAAAAATCGCAAACAATTCACTGTCAAATAAAAGTCTCCTGCACTGCACATGGCAAGTTAAATAAAAATGTAATTCTCTACTACTGATCTTATATTAGGTATAAATATTATATAGGTATGGCTTTTTAAAAACCGGTGACTGACATCCAGCTTTCAATGCTTAGCAAAAAAATTAAATCAGTAAATATAATCAGTCCTTTCCTTCAAAACCCTGAAAGTAAAGGTTAGCCACTTATAAGACACATATCCAACTATTCAAGTATATACTAACATTTAGTATACAACATACCGGGAAACAGAGTAGGTGCTGTGAGAGATGCAAAGAGTAATTAGACAGATCAAAGGGCTTACAGTTGAATAGGAGCTATGATAAACATAATCATAACACAAAGCAGAAAGTACCATAAGAGAATGACCAATAAACATCACAGAGAATATATATTTTTAAAAACTACATTCTGTTGAGGCAAGGGTAAGAAGAAAAGAGAATCAGGGGTGATATCATAATGGAAGTGATACTGAGAAATGGCCTTGAAATAATGGGTAGGCTCTCTGGTCTTGCAGAAATTGGAGGGATGAGAAGAGTAATTCAATTAGAGGGACCAAGATGAGCAAAATACAAGTGGAGAAGATAGGTTAAGTCCAACATCATAGAAAGCACCAAGCTCAATGTCTGGCACATAGCAGGTGTTCGGTTATATTTACTGCCTTCAACTGAAAGGCCCTGCATCATGGAAAAATTACTTCATTTGGGAGGCAAAGCAGAATTAAAGAAGCTTTTTGAGAAAAGACAACCGTGAACTACTTCTGAAGATTAATTTGGCAGCAGTGTATATGACAATTGGGTGGTGGAGCAACTAAAGCCAGAAAAGCAGTTGGGCTATCATTAGGCAAACGTCCATGTTAGAACAGCTGAGAGTCTGAACTAGGAAATGGTGACGAGATAGATCCAAGAATAAAGCCTCTCTCTACTTTCATATGAGTAAAGAATAATGCATTACATAATTACATAATACATTTGTAGGAAAAACCCTCATAGCACAAAAGAATTACCTAAAAAATAAAGATCACACTGTATTTTATTAAGTCTATAACCTAGGAAATTTCTTCCACTTACTATGAAAGATAGTGAGAATTTTAAAATTTAGGAGTACATCTCTAAATCTAATCTACTTGGAAGCTTTTCAGATTACTCTGGATGGTAACATGTCCACTGAATTTTTAGGTGTTAGCTACTGAATCTTCTCAAGAGAGGAGATTGAGCAAGGCATTACTGATGAGTTAACAGGAGACTAGTAAATGTAAAAACAGCAAAGTAGGATTAAATTCCTAGCTGTCAAATTCCTGACACTGCATGTCAAAAAAAGATGGGGGTAAATGTAGAAATGTATGGAGGGAAAGGGAGATTTTCTTTATTCATTAAAACTGTAATTTTCTTAGGAACAGCCCCAACATACCCAGGCAGTTACTATCCCTTAAATGAATTTATCTCAAAAGTACGTTTGAGATTAAAAAGTATTCTAAATCACTTAGAATTTCGGGTTCCCTTTCCAGTAAGACATATTTAAATAATAAATTTAGATAGTAATTTGGTCTTGGGTCCTTTACTGCTCATATCAAACCCCGTTCATCTATAATCTGGGAGTGGGATAAGAACAGGAAATCTGAAAAGAAGACAATGAATATGAAATAAGTAAAACTGTATCTTAAATGCTCAAAGCAAGTTAAACAGGTGACAATTATGCAGTATGGCAGGAAAGGTACTCATTAGCCTAGGAGTCAGTCTACAGAATATCTAGGTTTTGTTCAAACCCTGATATTAGCCAGTACGGGCCCCACTTACCATATCCACAAAAAAGAGGGGTTTGAACTAGATGACTTCCAAGTCCCTTCTAGTTCAGAAAACTTACTCCGTTTACCCACTCATCATCCATTTACCTACCCCTCCACCCATGCAAATATTTAGGTGTTAAGCACTCTATTAGACACAGTGAAAACAATAATTTCTCTGCCCTTGTAGAGTTCTGTAGCCCAATCACCCATTTCTAAGTCACCTGTTCCTGTATTTAGATTTTTTTAATACCCTTTACCATTAGTCATTCACATCTTATACTTTTCACCATGTGTTTCCACATCATCTCTCTTATTTACTATTTGAATTGCGTTCATCATTTAAACTCAGCTCAAAAACCATCTTTAAATAGAAATTTTAAATTTCTTCCTTTGGGCTGCAAAGGTCTTTGATATGCCTCTATATTTTATTTCAGTTGGCCAGAAATTCAACATGTCTGACTCCCCACTGGAAAATCCCTAAGAGGTTTATTTGTCTCATCATCACAGTGAAGTCTGGCATTTGTATGTCTGTTGAATAAAAGGCTGTTTCTGGATATTTCAAAGTTTTCTAGACTTGAGAGTACCAAGTCTTCAGTATGCCTAATTTTACTATGAAATACACTAAATTTTATGCCCTTCAGTAAAGATGTTCCATTAGAACCACTTTTAAGAATAGCCATGTTTTTCCCCCCCTTACAAAAAGATAGGAAGAAGAATTTCTCAAAAATAAATTTAAAATTAAAAGAGTTAAAGCAACAGGAAAAAGGTGGAAGAATGGAGGAAAAGAAGTACACAGAAGGAGCTGTACTTGTATAAAAGAAATTCAGTATCAAAAAATGCAATTGAAGAAGCAATAGGACTATGGCTATGCACTTACTCTGGTGAAACTGCCACTAGGACACATTTTAAATGTTTTTATAATGCTTTCCAAGCTTATGTTATATAGGTCTGGACAGTCTCAATGACAGGTGATACATTATCTTTTGAGGATGAAACCAGGTTTGGAGGTGTTTCAGAAGTAATTCAGAACCAAGTCAAGTGAACAATGGGGGTAACAGCATGTTTGTTTGAAAATTATTTCAGACAGGACACTGTTAACCAGAGTAATATAATTCTAAAGTCAATCAATGATTTAAGCTGTATTTCTGTACTTCACAGATAACTTCAGATGTCTGCAAAATGAATTTGAACAAAGAGTTTTGAGAAATTCTTCTGTACAAAGACTACTACTGAAGTCAACAAAAGGAATCAATTCTTTCTCTTCTTGTTCATCTAGGTAGCAATCACTTACTGAGACTATAACCACATGCAAGAAAACCTGAAGTGTCTACGGAAGGTTTTGATGTTTTTTGAGGTCATACTATAAACATCTTGTTTTATCATTAGGTACTGATTTCCTCAAAGACTAATCTCCTTAAAAGATCAGAATATCAGGCATTTAAATGTATATACCTCTTGAAACATGGACGAAGACTGTCCCTGAAATTTGGTTCATAATAAAAGAGAAATATAGCTCACATTCCAATTTTTTTAAAAAGAACTCCAATTTATTTAAATGTAACAGTCATCAGATAAATACTCCTTTGGACAAATAAAATTTCAATGCTTTCATCATTTTTTATTCAAATGTGTAACTGTTTCATACCACTTATATAATTATGAATATTTTTCTGACCTTCATTAAACTTTACTCTGTAGGGGAAAACTCTTCTTTCAACAAACAACTTTGTTACAAAGCAGAAACTAACACACCATTGTAAAGCAATTATACTCCAATAAAGATGTTAAAAAACAAAAACAAAAAAACGAAGTTTCTCATTTCCTTAACTTTAAAAAAAATTCACTAATTTTTGCACCTACATGAAACAACCCACACATTTATTTACCACAGAGAACTCAGAGGAAAAGGTTACTTTGAAAGTACTGGGCGGGGGGGGGGGAGGCGGAAGATGGCGGGAGAGGAAAACGCGATCACCTTCCTCCCCACAGATACATCAGAAATACATCTACACGTGGAACACCTCCTACAGAACACCTACTGAATGCTGGCAGAAGACCTCAGACCTCCCAAAAGGCAAGAAACTCCCCACGTACCTGGGTAGGGCAAAAGAAAAAACAAAGACAAAATAATAGGGACGGGGCTTCCCTGGTGGCGCAGTGGTTGAGAATCTGCCAATGCAGGGAACCCGGGTTCGAGCCCTGGTCTGGGAGGATCCCGCGTGCCGCGGAGCAACGAGGCCCGTGAGCTACAGCTACTGAGCCTGCGCGTCTGGAGCCTGTGCTCCGCAACAAGAGAGGCGGCGATAGTGAGAGGCCCGCGCACTGTGATGAAGAGTGGCCCCCACTTGCCGTGGCTGGAGAAAGCCCTCGCACAGAAACGAAGACCCAACACAGCTAATAAACAAACAAACAAACAAATATTAAAAGAATAGGTACGGGACCTGCACCAGTGGGAGGGAGCTGTGAAGGAGGAAAGGTTTCCACACACTAGGAAGCCCCTTCACGGGCGGAGACAGCGGTGGCGGAGCGGGGAGCTTCGGAGCGGAGGAGGACAGCACAGCAACGGGGGTGCGGAGGGCAAAGCGGAGAGATTCCCGCACGGAGGATCGGTGCCGACCGGCACTTACCAGCCCGAGAGTCTTGTCTGCTCACCCGCCGGGGCGGGGGTGGGAGGCGTCTGGGACCTGAGGCTCGGGCTTTGGTCCGCTCGCAGGGAGAGGACTGGCGGCGTGAACACAGCCTGAAGGGGTTAGTGCACCACGGCTGGCCGGGAGGAGTCCGGCAAAAAGTCTGGACCTGCCGAAGAGGCAAGACACTTTTTCTTCCCTTTTTGTTTCCTGGTGCGCGAGAAGAGGGGATTAAGAGCGCTGCTTAAAGGAGCTCCAGAGACGGGTGCGAGCCGCAGCTAACAGCGCGGACCCCAGAGACAGGCATGAGATGCTAAGGCTGCTGCTGCCGCCACCAAGAAGCCTGTGTGCAAGCACAGGTCAATCCACACCTCCCTTCCGGGGAGCCTGTGCAGCCCGCCACTGCCAGGCTCCCGGGATCCAGGGACAACTTCCCGGGGAGAACGCACGGCGCACCTGAGGCTGGTGCAAAGTCACGCTGGCCTCTGCC